TGCCTCTGTCTGACGTAGACAAGCAAACGTTTTAAGGAGGCCCCTGCTAGCACTCGTCCGGCAAGATCCTGTGGTGGCCTTAATCTATTCAAGCGGAACGGCTGGCTTGCGTCGTTTGAGTTCACCCAGAGATTCGCAACGGGCGGTCAATTGAAACAGTGGAAACACTGATTTATCAAAAAGCAAATTCTTGACATGTCACACAGGTGAGAAGGGAAACAAAAGTAGCGCCAATGGTTAGAGCAAGTGTTAACGAACTCAGCAGAAACTTAAAACGGGGCACATCGGTTGTTCGTGATTCGTTGACGCCGGGTCAGAGAGGGTTAAAAATAGTCTAAGTTAACAGTTTCAGTGTTTCGGTAAGATGTTCTTAGAATACTGGTAAGTTGGGTAGGAACCAGCGTAATTTGGGGATTGCTTCAAAGTTAACACACACGCAGAGAGAAGAAATTCTGGCTACATCCTAAAAGACTATACTATGTGACCAGTTTAAACTGATTTTCTGTGGTATTCTGATTCGAATTCAGAAGGTGACGGCAGACATCTTTGCCTTACAACAGGACCGAATACGTCATTATCAAATAGTCACACAGACATCGATACTGTCCACTTGAGAGATAGAAGAACCCCATTATATTCTTTGCAATCAACCGTCATTGAAACCCGAGTGCATCAAGCTTGTGATGTTTGCTAAGGCTGCTAGGCTTAGATGGCGTATTTCGAATGGGGCGTGATACATGCATTGATCATCTAAGACATAGAAAGTCCAAATCACCCGAATGTCTACCGCAATAAATCAAGATGTTGGTTAGCTTAATGGATGACTTCTCTGTCAGTCGGCAGGGAAGAGTTTTACTAAGGCAGTTCTTCATTGTGGCTGGAAATCGAACTTAAATTTTGGAGCTGAATGCGACAAATCACGAATCCTGCGCCGCACATCAACATCGCATTCCCATAGTTTGAACAAGTTGAGGCTCACCATTGTCGAATGCGCCTAGGTGGCGCGATATGCGTTCTAATGTAATGGAGTTTACACTGATACCGATCGCACTAGAAATGAAAATGCTTTGATTGAGTTCATCTATTAGCTTCTCCTTTACTGTGCTGCATTTAGATTTGGGAACTTTATAGCACACAATATTTAAGGTACTTAGTGAATAACGGCTTCAGAACACCAGGTTTTGTTGCTTTTGCTTAATCGGTGGGCGAAACTGACGACGGCAATCCGGGTTACAGTGGACTGGCTGTGGCCTGGTGTCCTCAATATGTCAACTAAGTTACTGGATGCAGCACCCTGGATGGAAGTAGAACCAGGTACGCTGTAAGCAATTGGCCCAATTAGGGGTGCGAACTGTCTTGGATCAGATGGAAATTGAGTTACTGAAATAATGTTGGAATGCCAGGCTCTGTTCTTTGGTCTGAATGGAACATTGGCTGTTTGTGATGTAGGCGTACGTTCGAGTGCTTCTAGCCGTTAAAATTAGGTGCTCACTAGTTGAGCACTTTTCCGTGAGTGTTTCATACATCATCATTACATAGACAAACAGTTGATAAGCCAGGTGCGCATCACCCCTAGCGGAGCCAAAACACTTCACTCGTGCTGTTGTGTTGTCTCATTACAAGTTTTGAAAGAAGTGCACATTTAGAGTATTTTGGGGCATTTGAAGAACGTAAGAGCAGACTTAACAACCTACACAGCTAAGATCCGTTTACCCTTTAAGGGTTCATGTTCATGGGGGACATGCACTTTTATAGTTTCGCGCTGATGTTTAGCGCACTTAACCGCCCAAGGTTTTATGGGGCACATCGATGCTGAGCGCGATTTCCCAATTAGTGTGATTGCGCAATCGCTCGACTGCAGTCACTAGTGATGTGTGCTCGCGGGCAGGTATGGTCGGCCAGTCGATCTGTGCTGGCGCTGATTGGACAGCAGCAGTACATCAGCCATTTGAACTGATGCTTCGCTGCCATACAACCATGAGGACCTATGAAATAAAGAATAAGAAGTGGGAGAGAAGGGGGACTTACCTGAAAACCTTAATGCCCTAAGCAAACATTCAAGGTCAAGGCGCCTACACCTTGTGTAGACAACATACCGTCACAAACAGCTGGCTATCGTGCAAAGATAAGGCGGCATCGGCGAGACAGCTTCCTTGCGGCTTTCACTGCCACGCGTCGTAATCAGCCATTACCCCGCAGATAACTCAGCACCAAACACACTTTAAACAGACAATCCGATTAGGAGACGGCAGCAGACGCGCCACTGGTGTCGGTTGCGAGCCATATCCTGTAAAGTCTCGAGCCAAGCACAGGGTGAGTCACGTGGACTCCAACCCGGAAGGCGAGACGGACCAACGGCACCCAGTTTGGTCGTCAGTGACTTCATTTCCCGCTGCCAAGTCAACTTCTGTCCACCTCGAGCCTTGCGCCATCCGACACCTGGTAGACTGAACAAGGCCCTCCTAGGTAAGCGGTGAACAGGCATGCGTAGCACGTGCCCGAGCCAACGTAACTTATTCAGTGCTATCTGTTGTTCTAGGGAGCTAGCATGATCATCACCACCTAGTACTCGCCTACGCACATCATCGTTGCAGACACGCTGGTGCCATCCGACACCAGCAATGCTTCGCAAACAACGATGATCAAAGACTTGAAGGCGCCTCAGATCTTCAGACCGAAGGGGCCAAGTCTCACTACCATACAGCAGAACGGCCCTCACTGTGGCCTTGTATACACGGCCTTTCAGACGGAGGGAAACTCCCTTCTGTCGCCAAAGATGACGCAGGTTCAAGAAGGCAGCTCTAGCCTTTGCAATGCGTGAGCTCACGTCCGTTTCTATGCGCCCATCATTGCTGATGCAGCTGCCAAGATAAGTGAATTGATCAACCACCTCGAGTTCCTCGTTAACAAGCGTCAAGGGGTCATCAAGTGGCTGGTGGTCCTGCAGCAACACTTTGCACTTTGAAGGTGCGAAGTGCATACCAAATAATGGGACCACTCTGGATAGACTATTCAGGGTTGATTGTGCCGCCTCAACATTGTCGAAAAGCAAGACGATATCGTCCGCATAATCTAGAACAACTAACCGTTCACCAGGCAGCACTTCAACACCTACATCATGAGATTTTGCAAAAAGAACACTCCAGGATAGAATCCACGACGAAATTGAACAAAAATGGGGAAATCGGGCAACCCTGTCGAACGCCACTTGTAGTCGAAAAGCTATCCGATAGGGCACCATAGACCCTGACGCGGCCTCTAGTGTTCGAGTATAGAGCACGAAGGATGTTCACATATTTCGTGGGAACACCTTTCCGCGCAAGTATTTCGAACAGAATCGATCGATCGACTGAATCGAACGCACTCTTGAAATCGAGGAACACAGCTATTGTCGGTCTGCGGTATGCGTGGCGCTGCTCTAGCACCTGCCGCAAAGTAAATATATGGTCTATACAGCCACGTCCTGGGCGAAAACCGGCCTGCTCTTCTCTAATCCGAGATTCCCGTTCTGCAGTGAGGCGACGAACGATAATCGAGGCCAGTAATTTTGTCACAACTGGCGTTAGGCTAATACCCCTGTGGTTCGCACAGTCTGTGCGTCTGCTCTTCTTGTATATTGCCACTATAATCGATTCGCTCCAATTAGCCGGCACACTCTCTTCGTTCCAGATACGTTCGAATAGGGAGGTCAGTGCTTTGCAGAGGACCTCACCTTCATCCTTAAATAGTGCAGGTGGTAGGGAATCCGGGCCAGCGGCACGAAAACGATTGAGGGCTGTGATCGCGTTTCGGACCTCGGCCTCCGACGGAGGCTCTAAACTAAACGTCCATGACTCGTCCTGCATCACCTGAGTAGGAAGAGGTCCGGGAGCAGGGGGCCAGCTGAACTGATGTTCAAAGTGCTCAGCCCAACGAGCCATACGACGCTCCTTATTGTGTATCAGCGCACCCGCGCTGTCCCTGATAGTCTCACTGACGCCTGGTTTTCTCGGACCAGTGGTGCGTATTAGCTGGAAGAGCTTGCGGTAATTGCCTACTGCTCCTGCCTCCTCCATTTCTTGAGCCCGACTGGTCCACCAGGCTTCCTTGTCAGCACGTAGGCTCCGCTTTAGTTCACGCCTAATAGCCCGTCTGGTCACATTGTGTTCAGAACCAGCCGGGAGGTGCCTTCTAGCATCCAAAAGGTTCACGGACCTATCGGATATCCAGTGACCGGTGCGGTGACGACTGATAGTGCCACAAGCAGATGCTCCTGCGTCGTGCATAGTGGCCGAGATCCTATTCCACTGAAGTTCAGTGTCATTAGGACAAGACAGTGAGAGTTCGCTATGCAGTGCTTCTTGGTAGGCTTGCCTGACAGAGGGCTGGGACAATTTCTTCGTTGCCAATAGGGGAAGACGCTTTGTGCGCCTTCCGGTAAAGTTCATGGAGAAACAACAGAGCGCACCAAGGCATGGTCAGAGTCGTCACAGGTACTCCAGTACGAGCGGCAATCCAGAATGAAACCGCGCCACCTGTAACTTATGGCTATGTGGTCAATTTGGGTCCATCGCTGACCAGCTACAGGTGGACGCCAAGTGGCACTTCGGCGCCCACTGTGTCTAAAAGCAGTGCTAGTAAGAAACAACTGGTGCTCCGCACACAGTTGCAGCAGACGCTCGCTGTTGTCAGTCCGTTTGGCGTTAAGTCCATACTTACAACCCAGCTGAGCTTCTGAAGAGCTCAGACGCCCTACTTGTGCGTTCATATCCCCTGCAAGTACTATGATATCTGAACTAGTAGCACTGCGTAGCAGCGTGTTCAGTTCGTGATAGAAAGTGTCCTTGACTGCATTAGAACTGCAGTCGGTGGGAGCATAAGCAGAAATCACAAACAAACAGCGTTTTGTTTTATTTCGCTAATTCACCTTAGCTGATGTCGTCAAACGGGCTGCACATAAACGGCTGTTCACCGAAATCCAATCAACCAACGATAACTCAGCCTTGGAGCTGAGGATGATACCTACACCAGCTTGACCCGTGAGTGCCGCATCGGCGTCTCCGGATGCGTGCAACCAATAACGAGAGGATAAGCCGGGTGCAGTCAATTCAATAACCCCGTTAGGGTCATTAATCCTAGTTTCGGACACACAACACACATCAGCACCCAGTGTGTCCAAGGTGCGTGCGAGTGCAGCCTGCTGACCTGTTTGTCTTAGAGTGCGGACATTGAATGTCGCCATGGAAACGGGACAGCGTGGCCTTATAAGGAACTTTTGCCGATAGGTGTCCGATAGGTGCTGTGGGATGGTGGCTGCAGATGGTTCTACTCTAGTAGCACTTCGGTTGCTGTCAATTAGGCTGGGAATTATAGAAGGAAGGTTAGTAATGGGGGCCGGGATGGGAGTAAAAGGTGGAAAAGAAAGAAGGGAGGCGCCAGCAGTAGCATGCTTTCGCTTATCCGCTCTGCTGTATGCAGCAGATAAGGCGACCCTTGATAATCTGCGCGACGGCCGATGCAGGATGAAGTTTATGTTTGAAGAAAATGTCATGGTTGTATGTGGGCTGGGATACTGCCAGGGCGCCCAGACCTAGACAGGAGAACGATTAGGGTCCTCATCCAAAGCCTTTGGCTCAAAAGCCTGTCCGCAAGGCAGCGGGGTGGCAGTGATTTAGTTTTACAGAAATGGACGCCATCCCATTTCAAACCCCCAACCTGGAGGACCAAGAGACTGAGTTTGTCTGACCTCTCACCATTGACCAACCTGGTAGGAGTAGCTCTCAAGATGCTCGAAGGCATCACCCAGTATAGCTCAATGGGTCAATGAGGTACGCAAACCGTCGCACCACGTTAAGGTCCAGTCTCGTTGCGACGGTGTTGATGAAGTGGGACAAAGAAAATGTATGTGAGAAACTGTAGAGGTTCTCAGGTATCATCAAAATACGCACATCTGGGATACTCCAATCCATTTTGCTTACAGTTGTTCAAAATTCTGGCTGATCAGCGCACCAGCAATTACGACGGACCATTCCCTGATTCTGGATTGTTAAGCATCCGCTGATCGCTCCACCCAAGCGGTTGGGATATCGTTAGATCAGAGACGTCGGCTGGAGCCGGAGTGAGGACAAGGCTTAGAATGTTTCGCGCTAGGCCTGGGCGCATCCGTGTTGGTGTCAAACCGTGCTCCTTCAGGTTGTAAGAACCCGAGGTGTAAGCGGAATTGGTTCTTGTTTCGAACATAGCTTATACTAGGTGCATCGGTCTTGATCAACGGAATGCCACTCATCTTCGCACCCTTTATTGAAGTTTGCATAGGACGGGTTTCTTTCTGTGTCTAGTATTTGTGTGGTATGCACTGCTTATGCGTTCCTTCCTCGCACGCATATAACCGCGGTTTCAAAGTGTAATTTTCCTTTGGTGTCGTAAGTACGGTCTGCTGTTTACTGGTCGCTAGTTCGCACCTTTAAAAACCACACTACTGACAACTGGAGCAGTGGCGCCTTCCGGTAGTCCTCCGCACTCCCTTCAAATTATTCGCCGCAGCCTCCTTCGTTCGGAGTCTTTTTGGCCGTCGGCGATGATCACTATGCGAAGAGGTTCCTCCTCTAAGTCTTGTCACTTCCTCAACTCACTGGCATGTACGTGCTGTGAATCGCCTTGCCGAGCGCTTGTATAAACTGGGCCTCGCCGGTTGACCACCTCGCACGGTCCCTTCCACTTCGATAGGCGTTTCCTCCCCCTGCGCCACAAGTGAGAGCTCGTTGATGGCCCTTGCATACCACCTACGAACCAGTCTTAAACTCAACGTTCGTCTCACTATTGTTGGGCTGGGACTTCCCCAGCTTCCGCGCCTGAGTTGCCTTCAGATTACGGTTGGTTGCCTTCCTATTTTCCTGTGTTTCTTTGGGAAATATTCGGCAACTTGGCCACATTTCAATCTCTAGATGGACAGGCAGGCGAGGTGTCCGATCGTAGATCACTTGGAATGGTGACTTCCTTGTGAATACTTATTTAGATGCTCCATGCGTCGGCAACAACAGTGGCAAATCTCCCTTCCACTCCCCTTCCTTTGCTGTTGGACACTCTATTACGCTTTGTCAAGCCATTTTCTGCGGGTAGCATGGGGTTACCCGCATTTTCTCGGTACCAAATTTCTCCAAACAGTTACGGAAACTCATACTCTCGAAGCACGGACCCCGGTCTGTTAATATGGCCTTTGGGTTTCAGTGATCCGTTATCAAAGGTTTCATGACGGCATGGGTAATGGTGGTTGCCCGTTGATCCGGGATTCCCGTTACCTCAATCGTGTGGGGGAAAGTGCTCCGTCATCAACAAGACGTATTGGTTGCCCCGCCTGGTCAATGGAATCAGTGCCATGACGTGGATCAACCATAGTTCAATTTTCGATACCGGAATCAATATCATTCATTGTTGTGGTCCTCAGCGGTCGGTTTACAACAGCTGATATTGCTTGCACGAAAGCACGTATGGCTCGACGTCGCTTTTCATGCTCGGCTAATAGGCGTGTTGTTTTGTAGGTTCTGGAACCAACGGTGTGAGATATCTCTTGACAAGAAATCATCAGCTTCCGCCTTAGTTTCGTCGAAATAAAAGGCACCAAGCTGTTGCCACTTGCAGTATTCCACATCAGGATTCTCGCTTCAGTTATGTATATATATAAATACATCCATATTTTTATGTATATATATATATGTATATTGAATACAGCCAACAGCATAATTGGCATGAAGCCACAACGTATGGACAACAAAGTAATACAACAATAATAAGGAAATATATAGGGTAAAAGCGTGCAAAACTGAAGTCATGAGAGCAGAGTTTCACAACATGTTCTCCACTGCTCATGGTTTCTTGACATGTCCGCGGTCCACATTGAGATTGCCCGTCGCAATCCAATCACACAACGTTTAGTCCAAAACGGACCCCCAAGAGTCATTTACCGTTGTGCCAAGTGTTGCGTACCCTGACCCGGTAGCCAAAGGGCTAGAGGTTTCGGCTACTATTCCAATGGTGTCGGGTTCAAAACCTGCTATCTCCACCTGATGAGATGAAATGACATCGAAACGCGTCGTGGTCGTGCGGTGTTTTCGGGCGGGCAACACCCAATTTCCAGCTGCTTTGACTACAGTCCCAGTGATCGCAGTGACAAAGGTCCACTTCAATGGGAACCATGGCCCATATTGAGATTGTGCGTCGCAACCAATCACACAACATGTAATCCAAAATGGCCCTCCAACCAATCTCGGAATACTTGTGCAGGATGATCTTGGCTACTCGAAGCAGGCTGCAAAAGCGTCGGGAAGACTCGGTCGACCCACTGGTCTCTTAAGGAGAGTTTTCCGGATATCATAGACATCTATCTATCCCAAAATGCTGCAGGCCTACTTGAGGCCTCAAGTGGACTACGCCATCCAATCCTGACGCAAACATGATGTCGACGCACGTGAAGCTTAACAAATTAGAGGGACCAAATTCGTTTGGGGAAGAATCCATCTTATTTAGCAAAACAGGCTGCAATCCCTAGGCTTGTACAGAGGTGATTGTAAGCGTCTGTGTGAAGACCCTAGCATTGTTCTCCAAATACTAGTAAACCACAAGAACGACTGTTACAGTTT